ACCTGCAGCCAAGCCATTTTCTAAGATGCTCATAACATATACGACTTCCTTTCCATCAATTCCTTTCCCCATGCCGGCTGGGGAATTCTGGGAGTGGAAGTCCACCCATCTTCAAGTTGCCAAGATTGAGAAACACTGCTCTAATATAATCAGGACTGGCATCTTGTCTATTTAATCCAGGGGTGGGCAATTTTTTGCTGGCAAACAGGGGCACCGGCCGCAGGTGTGTGTGTCAAAGTCAAGAAGCAACTGTGTGATCAAAGACCCGCCCCTTTTGACATGCATGATGTATGAGAGGCACACTGAAATGGGGGTGATGGTCTTTGATCATGCAGTCATAGCCACCATCTTGACTTTGTGACACCTCCCCATGAGGATACCCCTCCTGCCTAGGGCCCCTTTCCTTTGGGGATAACCCATTAAGGCCACATAGCACAGTGGGTGGGGCTTAAGCACTGGGTGGGGCTTAAAGAAGCCATGGGCAGAGTCAGAGCCCCAGGTGAGCAGAACCAGCTGGTCACTTTTCTTTTGATCCCCCTTTTTCTCTTCTGGACTTTCCCCTTTGCTACCCTCCCTCAATTAGGGGATCTAGGAAAAGCTCAGAACTGATTGATTGGGGAAGGTTTTAAAACTAGCCCCCGTTTTTATTCCAGGGAGCACAAGGGATTGCCAGAACAAAAGGTGTTTTACTCCTTTGATCGTCTCCTAACAACCCTGTGAAGGAGGCCTGGCTGCAGAAAAGAAAAAAAAATGGGATAAAATGCTGCAAAGGAAAAGTAGAGCGGACTTTGGGAGAAGTTTGAAAGAGCCATCAGGGAGGGACTTGGACAAAAGATTACGCAGAGCAGAGGTAGAAGGAAGTGTGAGAAAGAAACTCAAAGTGACTCCGACCTGATTTTCTTTAGTATAAGAGTGGAGAGAGAGAAATGTTGTAGTTATTAAGATCCTGTTATTTTGATCAACTACAAAAAAGTAGCATTCTTGGAATCCCTGTGGGGTCTGTCTCTTGGCCTGGCCTACCTCGAAGGGCTGACGGCTGACCAGCAGGATCTCCAGGTTGGGGTGGGGGAATTACGCCCTACCCTCTGGTTGCACCACCAGGAGGCTTTTGCTAAACCATCAGTGCAGAAGGGAGGCACCCTTCGTTTTATTGTAACTCAAAAGGTTTTCACTGCTCCTTGCAACGGAGCTGCTGCTAAGCCGAGCAGAGGAAAGAGGCTTACTCTGGGCTCTTAGTAAAGGAGCAAGCCACGTTTCTCTGTTGTCTAAGATTAAACGGGCATTTGCCAGGAGGGCGTCTGTTCCAAATCGTGATGCTGCCCTTACACCCTCTTGCTCCCAGCAGGGACGGCCCTTCCATGACACAGAAGGCTCCTGGCTTCGTCCTCACCTTGAGGGTCTTCTTGATGATCTCCACGACGTCCTTCTGAATGGACTGGTCGCACAGGATGTAGTCAGGGGCAATGCAGGTCTGGCCGCAATTCATGTACTTCCCCCACGTAATCCGCCTAAAGGATTCAAGAATCCCAGAACATTAGAGTGGGAAGGGGCTCCAGAGGTCATCCAGTCCAGCCCCCGGCTCAGGCCAGGGATCCGGATTAAACGATCCCTGAGAAATGACTCTCCAGCCTCTGCTTGGACACACGCAGCGATGGGGGTCAGGGATTCCTCTGTTAAACTGCTCTTATTAGGAAAAATGTCTGAACATTCAACCAGATCTAAGACTGAAGCGCGAGAAGTTAGATGAATTTCATTCCAGAGTTTCAGCAAGAGGAATGGGGCTACTTCGCCTCTCTTGAGCAAAACCCTCAAGCCCCCTGCAAAAAAGAGTAAAAATCCAGAGGGCCTTCTCCTGGCAAATCGTCCCCTCCCGCATCAAAAATATGAAGTACATCTTCTTATTTCTATCAGGGACAGGATGGGGAAACAGCAACCAAGAGCAGCATTCCCCAATCGGGAGCCCTCCAGCGACGCAGGACTATAGTTCCTATCATTCCCAGCCAGATTTTCCAATACTTATAGGAGTTGCAATCCAAGCACCCTAAGTGTCGTAGGGCCTCATATGGTGGGCCCTGGAGCAAGCCTCGTCTGTCTCTAAATAAACACGACGTTTGTAAAGATTTGTCTATAGCCGTGCTTCTCAACCTTGGCCCCTGTAAGATGTGTGGACTCAACTCCCAGAATTCCCCACCCGGCATGAATTCTGCGGGTTGAAGTCCACATGTCTTAAAGTTGCTGAAGGTGAGAAACACTGAAATATCCTATTTTAAGAATATAGCTCAACTTCACATTTACAACCTTTAACACCAGTTTTTTCCCCAAGCTTATGTTAACTTATGTTGTAATTGGGAATCAAATGGCATCTATGGCTAGACATGACCAAATCATGTGAGTCACAGAGTCCTCAACTTTCTAACAATGGGAAACCCAACTTTTTTTTTTTTAATCTCCCGGTCTCTCACCTGCAAGCCACGTCAAGATTGCAGTCCTCATCAATGTAACAGGGGCTCTTCCCGCCCAGCTCAAGCGTGACCGGGGTGAGGTGCTTGGAGGCAGCTTCCATAACAATTTTGCCCACGAAGCTGTTGCCCGTGTAGAAGATGTGATCAAATCTTTGCTTCAGCAGTTCTGTCGTCTCAGGCACCCCTCCGTTGACGACAGGGTACAGGTCCTGTGGGGAGCAAATGGGAGGGTGGTTAATTCTTTGTTTATTTGAATTTATTAGCCGGATTCTGGAGAGCCCAATTGGTGCTGATAAAAACAGAGAGAAAAAGCTGTGCTGCCTGGAATCAGCATTTGCGCCGAGCACGTGAGGCAAAATCTGCCAAAAGGAAATTTGGTGGCTGTATTTGGTTGGTGAGGGACCCTGGCACCAGGGGACTTGCCCAATTTTTATTTTATTTTATTTTATTTTATTTTATTTTATTTTATTTTATTTCCACAACTTCTTTTGCTTAGGCAGGTGGATGGGCAACTCTAATGGCAGCAAATATATCATAAGCTTATTTTCTCACAGTCATTCATTACTCAAATGATCTACTGAAATGCAAAAATCTGGGTCTGCACCTTCCCTGCCTGCCATGTTTCAAAAATATTGTTCATTCTCACCTCTTCTATCTTGTCAAGGTGCAATTCCCAGACATACTTAACGAATTAATCTCCCTACAATCTGCGTTCACTCTTGCTCCCTCTCCTTCCGTAGAGGGAACATTAATGGTCTTCTTCCAAACATCAGGCACAAAATGTAATCTTTACCTACATGATAAAGAAATCCCTGAACCACCCCATCACCAAAACATATCCATTTAACATTTCTCCAATTATACCGTCTACACCTGCAGCCAAGCCCTTTTCTAAGATGCTCATAGCATGTACGACTTCCTTTCCATCAATTCTTTTCCTTGGGTGCTAACCTT